ATTTGAACCAGATCATGAAACATTTGGGAGCCTCTCTTTGATCTTCAGTGAATGGCGCAGGTTTGTTTGTGTATAGTATATGCTGGTCTGACTGTATGAATGTATCTTTGATTCAAATGTGATTATACATGTAACCTACAATTACTGATGCAGACATGTTTGTACCTTGCAGATTCCCAGTAATATATGCATCTCTACTGTTTTTGTCCTTTTTTGTATAGTCTTCACAAGGTGGGTGTAAATAAATATTTAAAATATGGGGATTTTGGTCTCAAAGGAACTGATTACTAATCATGCAAAAGAGCACAACTGGAACAGGATTATAATTTTAACAGCAATGCACAGGGGAAGTGTGCAGGCAGAAACTGCTAATTGGTTCAACAGTTGAGAAATATTATCTAAAGATCAGTGAATCATTTAGAACAATCCCAGCAGACTCCTCAACCGAGTGAACAACAGCCATTGCCCTTTTGCATTGACTAGAGATCAGCTTTGCCATTTCTTCAGTAATTGTAGGATAAGGATGAGGCTAAGGGAGCTAATTCAATGCAAAATATCAAGTGGTAGTATCTGGAGCGGTTTTAGAGAATTAACAGCAGAGCACTGTGATGGAAGATGTTGTGGAAACGAAGGACAAAATAGAAAAACAAACAGACTTCCAAATGGGGCAACAACAAAATTACACAGCAGAATGTTCCTAAAATGTTCTATTCAAAGCAAAGCAAACCAAATGGTGGAATAACAGAAGCCATTCTGCCAAAATCAGCTCCAAAATATGTAGACAATCCTGTCAATGGATAAAGCAAAGTTTCTGTTTTAAAATAATTTGTATTATTTTTTAAAAATTAATTATTTAGGTTAAAAAAAATCTAAATTCTTTGGTTATTAAAGAGAGAAATGGAAGAGCAAAAAATTTCACATTGGAATGTTGCTGAAATGTTCTACTAAAAGTAAACCAAATGATGGATTAACAGAAGTCAATTTGTCTAAAATCAGTTCCAAAATATGCATACTGCCTTGTCAATGGATAATGCAAATAATGCATTTTTGAAATGTTTGTATTATTTTTAATATATATATATATATATATATATATATATATATATATATAAGTATTTGGGTATTATTAAATTATTAAAATATTAAAAGTATTAAAAATATATAAAATATTAAAATCAATGAAAAAAAATCCATTTCACCATCACTAAGTCGACCACTTCAAAATATTTTACTGTAAATACTGAAAGGTAAAACCTTCCTCATTTCACTGTAACAATCGAAACATGACAAGACAACATCAGGATGACTGATTAGGATTATTTTGTCAAATCCATATATATATAATGTTCAAAAAAATAAATAAAAAATAATTTTAAATTGCTCAATCTACTCCCTACTATCCCTTCTTTCTGGCTGGCCTTTGCCTCATCTGACCTCGTATCTTCACACAGCTCCTGCCTTCCTCTCTTATCTTCACACAATCCATAAATACACAAACGCCTAAACCGCTGCTGTCTCCCTCATAGGGCTAATATGAAATGACATGTTCTCATCAGTCAGAGAGGCTGTGGGAGAAAGCTATGGAAAAGTCTTCCCTGAGTGGATGCTAACACTTGTCTCTGACCCCCCTTGGGATTACTCTTCACACATGGGCACCTGCTGCTCACGCAAGCCAGCCAGACCCCCACTGCGCACAAGTTAACTGCTGCAGACTAATCCCCCATCAAGTGAAGAAGAGATCTTGACAAAAGCAAGAGAGAGATTGGACGGAAAAAGAAAGAAGTGGAGTGATAAACAGCAATCTGTGCCTACAGGTATAATACTGCCATTATTAGATGGAAAAACTGACCCAGTTAGACCCTTGGTATCACCAGCTCCAGGCAGATATTAATGTAGACATCACTCACTCACTCACTCACTCACTCACTCACTCACTCACTCACACACACACAGAAGTAGTTTAAAATGGCATGAAATGAAAATTTACACAACTATAATGAATATTATAGATCTTTTGGTGAACAATTCATCCATGCATGTTTCATTTTCTTTCTTTTTTTTTTTTCTTGGACCCCATAATGGCCGTATATGTTGACCTCAAAATGTCACAACTGGACCTTCGGGTAAAAGTGAGTTCTCTCTACGACATATGCAGGACTTCTCCAATCATTTAGTCCACCTACACCCCATCCTGCAGGCTTGCGTTCATCTGCCTCCACATCTCAAAATCCAATCAACAAGCAAATCATAGAATCAAGTCCCCATCCACTTTTTCTTCATCGATAATCCGTTCCACTCAGATGTACGTCACAATGCAGAAAAAAGACCTGTCGCTACTTCTGTTTTATCGCAACTTTAAAAACTTGTTTGAGGTCAAGCATGTAAATCGTCCTTGAGGTTGAAGGTTTTTCTCATAACGTGAAATTCAATTAAATTCACATCTTTGCTCTCCGTCTGTCTGCCGCACTGTCACTTTTCTCTGAAACAGGAGACGATTATAGTTTGACACATGGAGATGGAGGGAAAATGAAGTTAAAGGTATAGAAAAAAGGACAAATTAGGAGGGAAAAAAAGATAGAGCCTCTATCTAGCAGACTGTCACCTTCTGAAGATGATGGCTGCTGAAAAGCCTGAGTGGAAGCAGCTCTCCAGCTTTCTTTCCACCTTTTCTTGCATGTGACATTTTAGACAAATTTCACCCAGGCTTACTCCATAACTCATCCATAAATCAATATGCACTACAATTAACCACTATTGTTCAATCAATACACCATTACAAACCTTTAAATTGCAGTATTTTGTAGCAACTAAGCTAAATTATGACATTTCAGAGTCAATTCTTATATAATTGAACTTTCTACTAATCAGCAATCAGTAGTTTTGCATCACAGACTCCAAACTATAATGTTGATTATTGAATTGATTATATTATCTAGTGAAAATGATAGTGCCATTGCTTAGCACAGTGTAACAGTAAAACAAACACTGCAAACCACCTAACAGACTGAATCTGGAAATCACTAACTACCATGAAAGAGTTACATTAGCATATATATATTTATACACACACACACATAGAGATTTGTAAGAGACTACTAAAGGTCATAATAGGCTGCACTTATTATAGCTCTTCTTCACACAAATCCAGCTGGCACAGGAGCCTCTATGCTAAAATGATTCTCACTCACACTGATTTTGAGTATTAAATCCTAGACCATGAGTACTGCACATTTGCCTTCAAAATGTGTAAACCTCAACAATTGTACCATTTCTCTCTCTCTCTCTCTCTCTTTTAACTTTGTAGTGGTGTAATTTGCTCCACTCATTCAAAAGGCACACAGCAGTGTCATTAAGAAAGGCAGCAGAAAGAAGCAGAGTGCTGCATTAAAGAGCCGCTCTCGCTGGAGAATGAAAACAGTTTTAGATTGGAGAGGGCAGCGACTGAGAAAATCACAGTTAATAAAAACTTCATATTGAGAGTGTTTAAGCTGCTGCTGTCAAACAGACAGTGAATAGAAGTACACAGGCTTGCTCACAGCAGATAAATACATTTGATGAGGCAGTCACATGCACACACATACTCATGCACACAATGCTCCAGCATCTGCTGACGAGCGAGTTCCAGCGTTTGGGAAGCGTCAGCAGGTTTTTGCGCAGTCGACGTGAGTTCAGTAATAGTCTTCTCAGCTGAATGGAGGACTTGCAATGCATTTATTTAATCATCAATACAGTATCTCAAGACAACTTAAGCACCAGATTGACATGCACTTGTTCATTAGATGGTCTATAGCTGCATAATACTAAGATAAACAGAGCTAAGAAACACAAGAACAAAGCTGTGGGGTAATAAGTTAATTTAAATGAGCGGATTTTAGTAAATTGGTCTGTGTTTATTCAGCTAACAACAGGGTGAGTGTGCAGTGACTCATTTGATTTGTTGTGTAACTGCATTTCCAGTTGACATTGTGCATCAAAGACTTTTAAACATGTTTATCAGGTTATATGTGCAGACACATGGATGTGATAATGCAGGAATGTGTTGTAGATTATTGTTGTAACAGTGCATGCATACTTTTGAGAAAAGTATGAGGGTGATGATGTAATAGCTTACCCACAATGCTGTGCGGAGAAAATGAATGGGGGAGTGAGAGTGAAGATGATTGGTGGGAGCTCCCATCAATGAATAGCCATCGCAGAGCCAATGCTCAAGCAATGTTGAGACTTATTGTAATTCTGATCATGGCTGCTTATTCATAAGATTGTCTGTCAGGGAAAATGCAATGAAATCTCTGTGGCTCTATTTTCAGCACACAAACAAAACCCAATTTCATTGCATTGTTCGTTTGAACCTGTACAGTTCCTTGTCCAGTTTTTGTTTTGCACATTGTGCACAGGCTTTTGTGAGACATCAGAACAGCCCCAAGTGTTGCAGCAGGTAAAATCGGTATGCCATATACTGCTACAAAACGAATTATTACGATCGTCTGCCAGTATTTGCTAGCAGATGCACAATTCAAGGAAATGTGACTTTCTAACATTAAACAGCCTAAGACATCTGCTGTTGGGAGTATTTGACAGAGTCCTCATAGTGGAAGACGCACGCGCCACCGAACACTCATTTAGCTCTTGAATGAAACACACTTACCCCTTTCACCACTTACAATCCGTCTTAAAAACAAAAATAACCGGTACATTAGATATCTGATTCGATATACTAGATAATTATCACGATTTTAAATATTTTTCTAGGATTTTCGGGTGTCCATATGTTGCGTAATAATATCTCGTAAAAGACACATGAATGTCGTAAGAGGGAGACGTGAGATGTAACAATAGAGACGCGTAAAGTAGACTTATCTGGATGCTTAAAACAAGTGAGAGCGGTGCTCTGGCTTTGTGTGAGCAGGACAGTTTGGTGTTGTCGGTAATCAAACAAAAAAGAAGAAAGAATCGTGTTGTTTTAAGCAAAGCGCGGCCGGCGACATTGGGTCCGGTAAAGGGGGGGACACGACACGACACGAGTGAGACGCGCTCGTCTCTTGTACTTTATATTTGGATTCGTGTTGTCTGAACGTGTTTTATGATTAATATTCCGTCCACAGCATCTCACAGACTCGATCATGACTGTTGTGAGGACTCCTGACGTCAGAGGGGAGAATCATCGGTGAGGTCCAATGAGGGGAATATCAAGCGAGGCATTAGCCATGCTAACCGACGAGCACCTCGCCTTTCCACGGGACTTGACCCGCCAAAGATGACGAGTTTACTCAACTACGTGAAATAAAGGGCATTTTAGTTTTTCTTTTATGTTGTTCTCCGTCTCGTTCCCCCTCCATCTCCATCTCCTCTCGTATGACAGGCACGGACTGCTCGCGAGCTCGGGGGAGAAAAAGGCATTGCAGCTTCATGGCACTGAGGTACCGTCAACTGATGCGCACTTGTGCTTTCTTTTGTGAGAAACTGCCTTAGTTAAACGTGTCATTAAATTGCGATGATTGTTTTTCAACGGGCACCAGTCTATTTGAACGAATTGCCGGAGGGTTGACCTCTCCGAGTCCTTTGCAGTCTTTTCTTGGTCAGTTTATATATAGCCAGGTTTGTGAGGTGGAAATTTATTAATGAATGAGTTAAAATGTGTCTGCTGCTACGGCGTCAGGCAAAAGCGCATCATTGTAGATTCTGGAAGCATATAAACGATGCCTTCGTAAGAGACCCGTGCACTGAGGTGGCGCTTCTTATTTTTAGACAATTGCTAAAAATAGAAACAAAGTGAAGTGCGTGCGTTTTGTCGGGACTGGTGCTTAATTAATAGGCTTTTTGCGATGAAATGCACATGCAGCAGTAAACTAAGCGAAATATTGTGTATTTGCAGCTCGTCTGGATGCAATTTGCTACATTGTTTTGCTGCTTCAAAACGTGCTTATTAAGTGCTCAACGACTATTCAATTTCTAATTAACCACAAATCAACACTTTACCAGCTATCTGAAAATTCTAGCTAATGACAAAATTTGTAAATACATATCCTACTTAGCCTAATAATTAAATTCTTGACTGCCTAAAAATAAGAGACTGTTTTATCAGGTTTGGGGGCTTCAGGCATATTTCTTTTGACAGATACTCTATTCCCACTGCCTTTCTACTGACATACACATTCTCTCTTATCTTCACTACCGCACCCCTCTCTCTTTCACCCCCCTCCCTCCCTCCCCCCACCATCAGCTATGATTCACTCTCTTGCAGCAGCAATGAGCAACCAACTTCAAAACACCTCTTCCCTCTCCACGGCGGGCACGTGGAATCTCCTGGATGTGCGGAACTCATCACCGGTGCGAACGGCAGAGCTGAGGCCGCTTCCCGTTAGCCCGTGGGACATTGCGCTGTGTGTGACGGGCACGCTCATCTCCTGCGAGAATGCAATCGTGATCGCTATCCTGTTCTACACGCCCACCTTGAGAGCCCCCATGTTCATTCTGATAGGGAGCCTCGCGTTTGCAGACCTGCTCGCAGGACTCGGCCTCATTCTCAATTTCGTCTTCATCTATATGCTGAACACGGAGTTTGTAACTCTGATCTCCGTTGGCTTGCTGATCGCCGCCTTTTCTGCATCTGTGCTCAACATCCTGGCCATCACGGTGGATCGCTACTTGTCCCTCTACAACGCTCTGACCTACCACACGGAACGCACGGTGACATTCACCTATGTCATGGTGGTTCTCATTTGGCTGGTGTGCATCATCCTGGGCCTACTGCCAGTGCTCGGCTGGAACTGCCTCAGAGACGAGGCCAGCTGCAGTATCTGCCGGCCGGTCACCAAGAACAATGCTGTGGTACTTGCTGTGACGTTCTTGCTGGTGTTTGCCCTCATGATGCAGCTTTACCTACAGATCTGTAAGATTGCCTTCCGCCATGCGCAGCAAATCGCTGTTCAGCACCAGTTCATGGCCATTTCCACCACAAAAGGTGTATCCACGCTCTCCGTCATCCTCTGCACCTTTGCTGCATGTTGGATGCCCTTCGCCATGTATTCGATTGTGGCAGACTCCAGCTACCCGATGATCTACACGTATGCAACAGTGCTGCCGGCAACATGCAACTCTGTCATAAACCCAATCATATACGCTTACAGAAATCCGGACATCCAGAAATCCCTGTGGCTAGCCTGCTGCGGATGCGTGCCGTCCAACTTCTCCTTGCGGCCAAGGACATCGAGTGATGTATAGGTCGGACTCACATAATTCGTTTGTACTGTGTCAGTGTTAATGATATGATGTCCT